CGAACATTGATGTTCGAGCGCTGAAGAAAACGAAGTGCGCGCATGAACTTCAAACATACGCTTGGGCTCATGTTCATTTGGCTGAGTGCATGCGTGAGCACAGAATGAATGTTCTTGTGAGTACGAAAGCTTATTTGCTCACAAGCGCGATGCTGCACCTTGAAGACTGACCGTGACCGCTTTCAAGACTGCCTACGGGTACGAATGTAGAATTTGTTCCTCGCTGACCGTTGTTAACAGCAGAGGAATTTGTACCTGGTTGGGAACGTGGAGCGTTTCCTACCTGCATCTTAGAACGAACATTCCCAAGAATCACCACAATTTGGCAACAACAATGTTCGATTCCCGTTCAAAGTGACTTTTTATTAACAATATTTTGCTTCCCAAGTTAGAAGGAGTACAGAGCAGCAAAGTGACTGCGATCAATCTGCTGTTTTTCAATCGTTCACAGCTGAAATCGGCAATGGGAACATGGTCGAAATCAAAATGTGAACGAAGTCAGAGCAAAAGGAGAAATGCTGCACTAGCGAGGGGTTTTTACGGAAAAAAGCAAAGAAAGCCCTTTTTTGCCCGTTCGCTCTGCGCGTTCGTCATTTTTAATCAGAGGTAGGGTAGAGCGCTACTTCGTCGTAATTGCCCATTGACGTTCTATCGATCATAAAAGATCAATAATATCGAAGACTTCACCGTGCAAAAATCAATAATAGTTTCGTTCCGATGCGTTAGTTCATTAATTGTCGATCGTCAATAAGTGTGGACGCGGTTTTCAGTCGCTCCTAGCCGCGTGCGCTTTAATTTCGTTTTCATTTTATTTTTTTGCGTGCGGGTGGCGTTTTGTGTGTGATTGTTTTTTTTTTTTTATTTTTGTTGTACGCCGTTAAAATGAGCTGTGAAATTTGTGATGTGGATTCTTCCACTTACTCCGGCATGTGGAAATGTGCTGGATGCCCGCGTCAATTCCACGCAGCCTGCCTAGGATTATCAGTAGCTGTACCTGTTCAGAGGAGCTCAATTCGCAATAGAGAGCAAGACAATCAACATTTGTCATATGTATTACCATGCTGTAGCTCATGCCAAACTATGATCACGGCTAGTTTTGAGTTCAACGCGCTTGTGGAGCAACAAGCGGGCTGGTCGACCAAGTCAACAAAAACACTGAGGTGACTCATCGATCCACGGTTCACCCAAATAATGCTGACGCACTCACCTGAGGTAGAATATAACAACATAGCTGAGCCCGAGGATCATGGCATCTCACTTAACTTGAAGGATTTCGGACAGTATGCAACAACTTCACCCCCTGACCAGCACGACGTAAGTGACCATGTCGCTAGTTTATCAAGTAGCTCTTTTTTAAGTGAAACTACAGTCTATTACCAAAATTTTAACCGTATGCGTAGTACGTATAAAATAAATGAAATTCAAAATAAGCGGATGCACATATGATATAATAATTGGAACAGAAACTAGTTGGGCTGATAGTATTAATAGCGAAGAGGTCTTTGGTAGTAAATTTAGTGTTTTTCGATGTGACCGTGATTTATCATTATCAGGTAAAAAATCATCAGGTAAAAAAATGTATGTAATGTCGGCCTAAACTTATTGCTGTGAATGCTACATTTCAAGCTGAACAAATTGCTAGTGAAAGCCAAAAAGAATTTGAAGATGTGTGGGTTAAAATTTTAATAAACGGTGAAGAACATCTTTTCGCTTCTGTCTACTTTCCTCCACACTTTTCCAAAAAACCAGCTTAAATTCATATTCATATTTATTGAGGTTTTAACCAGAATACTGTTAATTTATACAGGATAGTGATAATGATTCTCTGCTGTTACCAATTGTAGGTGAAAACGATACTTTGCAATTCATCTTTGATAAAAGCAGCCACTTAGAACTTCATCAAATTAACCATGTTCGTAACCAGCTCAATTCCTATTTGGATCTTGTGTTTACTAATTGTACAGAAGATTTTTGTATTGTAGAAGCAGCACGTCACGCCCAAGCGTTGTTGATTTTGAAATAGTTTATGATTTTAAAAATGCAATTGTTCCTGAATTTCACAGCAAACTGAATAACATAAATTGGCAAAACCTTTAAAAAGATGAAAACGACATGGACAAGGCTGTTGACATATTTTATAATAACTTATTCAATATCATTGAAGTATTTGTTCCTAAAAGACTAAAGAAAATTATTGAACAGCACCAAATATCCTGTGTAGTATACACAAGAAATCAAAAATATTAAAAACAGGAAGCAAAAAGCACACAAGTCGTATAAAAAGTTTAAAACTTCACAAAATTTAGAAATATACGTTGAAATTTGCGGAGCACTTGAGGCAGAAACATCGTCAGCATGTGAGAATTACAATTCAAGAGAACAGTATAAAATCTGATCCCAAAACGTTCTTTAATTTCGCGAACGAAAAAATGAAGTCATGTACATTCCCATCACGCATGCAGTTTGAAGAGTGTGATAGCACTGATAGTGAGGATATTTGTAACCTATTTGCTTGTTTTTTTTTTTCCAAAACACATATAAGAAATCCAGTAATGCTTTCGATTTGAACTATTTTTCTTACCTATATGAAGGGGAAAATGACGTAATAGTAAATAATATCACTGTTAATGAAAGTTGTATGACACTTGAAAGTCTCGATGCCGGCAAAGGAGCTGGTCCTGAAGAAATACCTCCATTTTTATTGAAAAAAAAAATAGCAACTAGTTTTGTTAAACCATTGTTTTGGCTTTAAAATTTATCTCTCAAAACTGGTGATTTTCCAAAATATTGGAAGAAATTATTTTTAGTCCCAATTTTTAAATCTGGCAAACGGTCAGACATTAAAAACTATAGAGGTATTGCAATTATGTCATGCATTCCTAAAATGTTTGAAGCAATTGTTAACCAGAAAATATTTAACCAGGTTAAGCATCGCATTTCAAATAATCAACATGGTTTTTTTAAAGGTCGGTCAACGTCTACTAATCTGTTGGAATTTGATTAGTTTTCTATTGAAGCAATGGATAGAGGTAATACCGTTGAAACCTTATACACCGACTTTAGTAAGGCCTTTGACAGAGTAGACATTCCCTTACTTCTTTTTAAATTAAAACGTACACTTTTAAAATGGATTGGATCATACTTGACAGAAAGAATACAGATGGTCCATGGATCAGGTTCTACAGGGATCTCATTTAGGTCCTTTATTATTTATTTTATTTTTGGATGACGTGAAGTTTGTGTTAAATCGCTTAAATGTGCTCATATATGCTGACGATATGAAACTGTTCATGGAAATCTTTGACAATTCTGATTTGCTACATTTAAAAAATGAAACTGATGTTTTCTACAATTGGTGCGTTAAAAGTCTGCTGGATATTAATGTTAAAAAAAAAAAAACAAAATATTATATCTTATTCCAGAAAACACACTACCAGCTGGTTGTAAGGTGCGATAAAATAAAGGACTTAGGAGTAATTCTTGACTCGAAGTTGAAATTTGTAGATCATGTGAATACCACAATTCACAAATCAAATAATATGTTGGGATTCATGAAAAGATTTAGTTATCATTTTAAAGACCCATATACCATCAAAACACTTCATATAGCTTACGTGAGATCAATCTTCGAATATTGCAGTGTGGTTTGGGCTCCATACCATGAAACTTATATAAATCGTATAGAATCAGTTCAAAAACAGTTTTTGTTATTTGCTCTTAGGAAACTAGGCTGGTCCTCTTTTCCCCTTCCTTCTTATGAGTCCCGTTGTATGTTGATAAACATTAAAACACTTAAGAAACGAAGAGAAATTTCCATGATTTCCTTTGTTAATGATAATATCTCACAACGCGTAAATTCAGAAAAAATATTAGCAAGCTTAAATTTTTACGTACCATCACGCATGTTAAGAACTCGAAATGTATGTCAACTGTCACCTAACAGAACGAATTATGGTAAAAATGGACCAATCAATAGAATGATGAGAGTGTATAATAATTATTGTGAGCGTATAGATCTAACGATGTCTAAAGATACAGTAAGGAGAACACTAACTGCTAGGATTTCATCTCGTTAAGTTTAAAACAATTTTTGTTTCTTAGATATTTGTATATGCAGTCTATATTTATTGAAAATTTCAAATAAAACGTATGTTTTAAAATAGCATGTAAGGCAACAGCACTATTGTAAAACGGTCTACACTGATTGACGACAAATAAATAAAAATAAATTAGCTACTACATAAATCCTGTTAGAGCGCATTGTATGAATATTTACGCTCATTGTTCTCAATACAAAAGAAGCGCTCCTAGCGAATCCCCTTTTTTACGTTTATCCGTAGGACGAAGAAAATCTAATGGCGTTTCAATGCGTTAGGACGGAATTGAAACACGTAGAACAAATTAAGAATCAAGAAGAAGTATTCGATTTTAAACAATATCTCAACACATTAACACTAAAAAAGCACTCAAGTATTTTTTTTCTAAGTCGCACCATTTTCGAGATGTAGCGGTTTGAAAGTATATATTTTAAAAATGTTGGTAGTTTTTGGCGATTTTTAAATGTATTTCGTGGTTCTCCAGTTCCAAAAATATTTTTTTCCGAAAGATCAGAAAATTTTACAATGAAAATGCTCTTGGTGGCTCATAGATATGATCTAAATTATCCGGAATGTGTATGTTTTAAAACAATTGATTTTCTTACAAATGCAAATTTCACTCGTTAGCGTACACACTAAGATTATTTTCACAGATATTCTTTGAAAAATAACAGGAAAACTGTGAAAAATCGCCGAACTTTTTAACGAACGTTCAGCTGTTGAGATTTCGGTAAAATTTCACAGATTTCGTTAAAGTAATCGTAGTGTGTATGCAAATAACTTATAATTGTAATTTTTCGAGAATGATTTAATTTATATTTACATTGTTAGTTTGATATAGTAGTAATAGAAATACATACTTTCATTTTTAGTAATATCAACAATTTTCTTTTCATTATTACAGATTGAAAAGTGTCTGACTTCTATTTGTCTTTCAGAAATAGGAATAAATGAGTGGTATTTTTGAGTTCCTTGAATGGTTATAGCCCTTGAGTATTGTTCGTTGAGCTTGTGCTTCTCTTTATTTATTTAACCACCATCTTTGACATTTTAGCCATGCAGACTGTCCTATTCTTAAAAACTGGTCTACTTATATTAAAATTAAAAACATCACACACATCATTAAACAGTCTGCAACATCTATCGAGAGCATAACCGTAAGCAGTACAATTTCCAGGAGTCCACAGAAAGTAATAGTTGCGGAGACGGCGAGCTGGAGTGTGGAAATTGATGTTCCCGAGCAAACAACTGCAGTCAATATGATTACTAATCATGTCAAATATGAACATCCTCTGGAGGAAGACTCGGCGATTTGTTAGTGTTTGCAGCCCAATAAGCGCACATCTATGCTCGTACGGAGGTAAGCTATCTGGATTTGTCCATGGCAGACGTCGTAATGCAAACTTTATAAACTGTTTCTGGATTCTCTCGTTCTCTAGCTAGACTAGCTCTGGTAGCCATACGTTTCAGTGTTCCTCCTATAGCATCACATGGATGGACATCAGTTCTATAACTCGTCGCTACTTGATAGTTCGGTACGTTTAGAAAGCTGTATCAACACGAATCACAAATTAATTAATTTACTGTTAAGTTGTTTCTATTCCGCAAAACCCAGATCAACCAATTTCTGTATATTAGTATCCGTGAGATTTCAGCAATTTTTCGAGCAATTTTTTTAAACACATAATGCACTTATAATGAAAAGTATTCATTTTAACTACCACTTCGTCTTCTGAATTACTGAACTTAAGCAGGTCACTTTCACAGATACACAGAGAATTATATTCGAATGTTGATTACGTGTCAGATTTGGCTTATATATGGACGTAGGTAATTCAAAACCAACCCACATGGTACCATGAATTGCTTAGCAATAGATAGCATGTTAGCATTTTAGCGAGGGGGGCGACTGTATCTACGATGCAGGAAAAATTGTGTTTTGCTGTGGTTGGCTGCGCGCATGCTGAGTAGATAGAAAGAAGATTGATGACTTTTCTGAAGATTTCTTGTAAAAAGATGATGCTCGATGCAATTAGATGGGAGAAATGAAAGAAGATTTTTCGAAGATTTATTTGCTAGTTTGAGATTTGTAGAGCATCTGGAACTGAGATTTAGATGTGTCACCCCCTCGCATTTTAGCAAAAACCTTATACCTATGAGGTGCAGGAAAAAAGGTCACTTTGTTTAATTTTTATATTTTAGAAGACATTTAATTTATTGATGAGCCACTGTTACCGCGAGGCAATTAATGTAGGATCAAGTCTTTAAGCCAACCCGCATAGTTGCATAAGTCTTAGCTGATGTCGATACCAAGGCCAAGGAAAAGAAATGAAAAGTAGGGTAAAACAACGACAGCTCAATTATATAATCTGACTGTGTAACCAACGCTTCCACGGTTACAATGATTCTTTGATTACTGGGGCAGCTTAATTTATAAAAATGTATTTATTGTAAAAAAACATAAAAATATATTGTTAGTCAATGTTTAAACATAAAATATTTGTATATACTCCATGTTATGTGTTTGAGTGTCAAATATTGAGTGTTTATTAGCCTAAGGTTGGTATTGTCGCTCGGCATTGTGAATATTTATTCAGTAGTATTTAAATTTGTTCCTAGTTTTGTTAATCTGTTTCATTAAATTAATTATCATACAATATAAAGCGAACCAGCAATGAAATTATCATGCCATAAAATTTAAATTCAAATTATCATTGGCCGTAATACCAACCTTCTCCAATAAAATTGTTTGTTGCTGCTGTCATCACCTCGGTCATCACCACTGACGCTGAATCAAGAAGGAGCCAACGTACGCGGCTTTTGTTTAGGGTATCCTTTTGATGCGATGCTTTCCCCAAAAAGCTATATAAGGATTCCGGGGACATGGGGATGGTCTCTTGTAATATAATAGTTCGTCCGGAGGAGTGAAGTTCGCGGCTAGTCATTTTTTACACGTGACTTAGCGTTTCCACGTCAAGTGCTAGTTCAGATCCTTAGGATCGAAATTGTGATCAACTAGCGTCACCACACGCTCGCCAAGGGCTAGTTGATCCGTCGAGTGGGATAATAGTGTGGTGTTAAGTTTCTGTGGTCTACGGTTCAGAACCAAGAAGAAAGATAAATCGTACTAGTACGACGCGAGTGCACGGACGGTCAGAGTGTGGCAAATAAAACGCCAGAAAGTGACTTTGGTGAACCGTTGGACCTTTTGTTTAGACCGTCCAAAAACTTTCGTTAGAAATCCCACTCGACTAAAGTTAGACACTCGCGGTTAAAGTGCGCGCGCACAAAAGTGTACCACTCCCCGGACAAAGCGAAGTGAAACGCTGGCCTCCGTTACATAAAGGCCACCTGCCGCCGCATCTGGATTCCCCCCGTCGCACAGTGGCACGAATATGAATAAAGACGGTCAAAAATATTTTCTACCCTTTTTCGACGTTTTAGAGACTGAGTGTCTTGGGAGAAGTTGCTCAAAATTATAACTCGCATCTTTTGAAATACACACCTGAATAATCTTTAAGCTAGTATTACACATCCAAATTCTAACTTTTTCCAGTTACGAGATAATGGTTCCATGTCTTGGACAAAGTTGCAGAGCAGTTGATTTCATGAACATTTGCTAAAGACACCAAATTTCTACATCATAACTCTGTAGAGCTATAATAGATTTTCTTTTAAGACTACCTTAATATTGGTTTTTAAGTTAATTAGTGCTTTTTTCAAATTTGATCAATTTATCATGTTCTAAGAAATTGTTGGCATCATTAAAATTTACAACTTTGCTGAATACCTCAATGCTTTTCATTGACATCCATGTGATATACAGCCCATCAAGCGTTTTTGTGACGTCATATTCAACGGCTCGAAAAGAGGGTGGGCGGGCCCTGGCGGGGTCTAAAACTGGTTGTATTTTGAAGATTACCTTATAAAATAGTACTTCTGAAAATTTCAGCGTTGGGTACTGAGGGGTACCTAGCCAAATCTCGATTCGAAAATGTCAATATTATATACAGCCCATCGGACGGTTTTGTGACGCCATATTGAACGGCCCGAAAAGATGGTAGGCGGCCCCTGGCAGGGTTTAAAACCGATTGGATTTTGAAGATTACATTATAAAATAGTGCTCCTGAAAAATTCAGCGTTGGGTATTGAGCTATGAATCAATGATTTTAATCTACACATGTTTGAACTTGCAAATTATTTAAATTATTAAGCTTAATCTGGAGATGTATTTAATGGGTTTGTTCTTAATGTGTTTGTTCTTCAGTGTACCTACATTGATATGCACATTCATTGCAATATTGATACTCATATGTTGATAGTTGCAAATATTATAATGCAAGCTAATAGTATTGGTATATTCTTTGCCCTTTATGATATACAATATGGACTAAAATATCGGTATAACTTTCAAGAAAACTAGAATAAATGATTAAATTCTGACTACGGTTCTAAAGGGTTCCAACTTTGGACCTACCCACCCCACCCTCTTTTCAGAACATGGAACGTGACTTCACAACAGATGTTTGAAATTTCCGCGTGCACATCGCTGAACGCTGCTGCAGATGACTATTTTGCGCTTGACGTTTTGGCGACAGCAAAGAGCGATAGAGTTTATTTAATTATCTAGGTGTGATTTTTTTCACGAACAACTTGTATTGAAGTTGTGGTTCAAAATGAATTCATTCAATCTTTGTCGGATGGAATTGTTCAAAGTGTGGGCGGAGCAGATTTATGGAAATCGTCATGTCAAATATTATTGAAGATAGTCAGGTAAGGAGTAATTAAAACATATTTTTTTTCAATATTGGCATACTCAAAATATCAAAGTTCAGAATATGCAGTTGATGAACAAACCCATTGATTACATTTCAAGATAATGCATTTTTTATATGGTTGTAAATTTTATCATGAGTAAGTAGCACAGTCGTAGCACACATTGGTTTATAACTTGTACTAAATATATATAAACGAGATTTGACTAGGTACCCCTCGGTACCCAAAGCTCAAATTTTTAGGAGTACTATTTTATAAGGTGATCTTCCAAAAACAATCAGTTTTCGACTACATGAGGGCCCGCCTACCCTATTTTCGAGCCATTGAATATGACGTCACAAAAACGCATGATGGGGTACATATAACATTGACTATTTCGACTCGAGATTTGACTAGATACCCCTGGAAACCCAGCACTGAATTTTTCAGGAGTACTATTTTATAATGTAATTAAGCGGTTTTCAAAATCGCTTCGAAATTCAATCGGTTTTAAACCCTGCCAGGGGCCGCCTACCATCTTTTCGGGCCGTTCAATATGGCGTCACAAAACCGTCCGATGGGCTGTATATAACATTGACATTTTCGAATCGAGATTTGGCTAGGTACCCCTCAGTACCCAACGCTGAAATTTTCAGAAGTACTATTTTATAAGGTAATCTTCAAAATACAACCAGTTTTAAACCCCGCCAGGGCCCACCCACCCTCTTTTCGAGTCGTTGAATATGACGTCACAAAAACGCTTGATGGGCTGTATATCACATTGATGTCAATGAAAAGCATTGGTGTGTTCAGCAAAGTTGTATATTTTAATGATGCCAACAATTTCTTAGAACATGATAAATTGATCAAATTTGAAAAAAGCACTAATTAACTTAAAAAAACCAATATTAAGGTAGTCTTAAAAGAAAATCTATTATAGCTCTACAGAGTTATGATGTAGAAATTTGGTGTCTTTAGCAAATGTTCATGAAATCAACTGCTCTGCAACTTTGTCCAGAACATGGAACCATTATCTCGTAACTGGAAAAAGTTAGAATTTGGATGTGTAATACTAGCTTAAAGATTATTCAGGTGTTTATTTCAAAAGATGCGAGATATAATTTTGAGCAACTTCTCCCAAGACACCCAGTCTCTAAAACGTCGAAAAAGGGTAGAAAATATTTTTGACCGTCTTTATTCATATTCGTGCCACTGTGCGTCGTCTGGAAGCCCTATACAGCTGCGTACGTTTGTTGGCAGCTCGCCGACGCCGCCACGTGGGCCATTCCCGCCATCTCATCAATGTCGACCACCGATTCATCACGGCCGCAACGAGGAGCAAGTGAATTTCCAGAGTGAATAAATGCGCAAGTAAAATGAACCCCTTTTAGCTTATTTTCACCATTCTACATAATCTCACACTCTTATAGGAAATCCCTCAAAATAAAATAAATGTCAGGTCGAACTAAATTAAGCTGTTAATTATTAATTTGTTTGAAAATTCACTATGTTCTCTGCTTATTTTCCACTTTGATATATTATCCACTTTGAAATTAAAATATAATCCCTAATAGAACATAACCCAGTAATCGAAGATTAGCACAAAAGGTGCAAAAAAACGTTGAAATTTTTCTAGGTTACCAATTATTAAAACGACCCTAACAATTCTCACAAAAGAGGCCATTGTAAGGCCCACCCCGGACGGTTACCGTGGCTTGACCAGCAGCTAGGGGCGTAGACACGGGTCCTTCTGACCCTTGTGAATGAGAAATAGTTTCACTGGCGCCCAACGCAAAAGAAAAAGTGGTTTACTTCCAAGACCTGAAGTAAATCCCTTTTTGAACCGATTTCCCGGAGAAATTTCAACGAATTTAAAATTCATTTCAATTATCGCGTAGTCATCAGTGTGATCCTAATTGAAAAGCTGATTTTGTGGGAAGATTGCGGAAGGAGATTTGCTGGCTATTGCGGATGATGATAAAACCACTCACCGATACCGATTGCTTGGTTATGGAAAATGATCAGAAACACAGAACCAGTATTGAAATAGCCTACTTACTTCGTCAGTTGTCAGCATTGAGTTTTGAGTCAAGTTTTGTTGCATTTCTTTCTTAGAAGTTCTGTAAATGAGTGATTTCCCCTATTTACATCTAGTAGTTTTTTTCATTTATTTATTTGCATGATTT